CCTTTTGTGCGTGTTATGTAACACCGAAGTTAGTTATCATGCAACTAGGCATCGCCTAGTTGCAGGATAACTAACTTCGGTGTTACATAACACACACCGAAGAAAACACGCTTACACGCAAAATGTGAGTAAGCTTCACAAGCTTCTGCCGAGATTTGCACAACGTGCACATGTTATCCAGGCAAATATCATTAGCCAAATGCGTTATCATGTTTGTCAAATAACACGGCATGGTTTGCACGGATAATATTTGTCGGCTTACAATGATGTTAGCTTTTCTGCTTCGATGAAATGGATGTGGTGTTAGGTTGCAAACATATGTGTTATCTGACCCGTTTTTTGCAAGAACGTGTGTTTTAATAGGTGCTAGATTTTGCTTGAAGAATTAACTAACTGGTTTGTTAGCATTTTTTACAGTGTATGGAGCATCTCACTACTAAACGAAGTCAATTTTCAAATTTGGTTAGCTAAGCACCTATTTAGGGCTGAAACAGCTATGTAAAGCCTGAAATAGGATTTCTTGGACGTTCATTTCCCCACACCCAGTGCGTACTGGAAATTTGCAGTGTAATTTTAGCCTTTAGCTTAGCAATGTATAAAACCCACAAAAGTATATGTATATGCGTTGTGTTTTGTATTACGTGCGCTACTTTTACAAAGTGAAAAGCTGAGACCTTTGTGAGATTTCTCTAGCTTGAGATTTAAATCTGCTTCACTTCACATGGCGTTGGCGTGAGAAAAATAATTGGTGAAATTACGATTCGTTATTTTTATTGTATGCATAACTCTTTGATAGCCCTGCGTAAAACCAGGGTGATAGGTTCCCGCTGACTGCGCGGTAATGCCGAAACTGAGTTAGGAAATACAGAAGATTAGGCATTGCCTTTTTTGTTTAATATTGATATTAATACAGTGGAATCCGCTTAAAATTCACGGATAATAAATCCAGCCGCTTATTGTGGGCTGTGGCCGCCAGAGCTGTTCACGGATTTTCTCCATAGATACCCGTAGTTAAGCCAGAAGAGCAAAATGTCGCTAGATATAGAGATGTTTCTCTTGACTTCTCATTTTTAGCTTGAGATTTCATTTTGTACTGACGTGAGGTAGCCTTTAACTTTACCCAAATTTGTGCATTTCGATGCAGTGCTGCCAGATTTGGAGGATTTCCGCAAATCTGGAGGATTTTGAACTCTATTTGCGGACAAATTTCGCTTTTGGAGGATTTTTGATTCTGGAGGAAAATCTGGAGGATTTGTCGCCCGATTATTATATTCAATTTCATGGAAAAATATAACACATTCAAGACTAAAAAGGCATTTTCCTGCCCAGCGTCACCCTACCCGTTAGGATATATCACGTCCTTTATCACCGTGAGACTGCAGAATGTCTCAGTCTGTAGCTATATTTACGAGGGTACCAAACTACTGGCGGATCTAAGGGGGACATTTGGGGCAAATGCCCCCGGCCCCCTGCAGCGCCTGAAATCGACGAAAATTTTCGTTTTTTTTAAGATAAAAGAAAACTCAACAACTTTTATAAGAAAAAGTATCTTTTAAACTGCACAGCAGTGCGAAAAGATTCGAAATCCGATGGGTTTTTAGTATTTGGTGAAACTTTTTTGGGGGTATAGCCCCCCGCAGCGTCCAAGACCGCCTTTCTATATCTACCAATAGGATTTGGAGGAATCTGGAGGATTTTTGTAACTGATATAGAGGATTACAGCCCTCCCCATCTGGCAGCACTGTTTCGATGTCGTGGCGGCTGGCGTATTTACAAATTGCAACCGAGCTCCGCCGTGGGGTAAGGTGGGCAGGGGTTTTCGCACTACGGCTGCGGTTGAACTACCGTCTGTGGTAGAAACTTCAGGACGATGGCGCGTTTCATACGAAATCTGGCGCAATGTTTGTTTGCTTCTGAACTTGTACTGAGCGCTGTTCGGCAGCCGGCTATTTTGTGTGCAGGGTATGACGTATTTCGCGAGCTGACGTCACAGGCGGTGACGTCGGCTCGCGCGCGAGCCGAGCGCCAACGACAAACTAACGGGAACCCTCGGACACCCTCGGGGCATAAACCGCGGAGTAGCATATTGAGCGAGTCTTATAAGGAAAATTCATATATTTTCGTTTCACAAATGATAATCAGGGCGTCTCTTACCTTTTTACATATCATTTATGCTTACCTAACACTTCAGTTGCCAAATATCTGCAATTTATTCAAGCGAAGGTATTTTCAGTAAATATCAATGGTATAGACCGAAATCTTTTGAATAACAACTCCAACCAACAGAAATAAAAATAACTTAATTTATTCCAACCATTTCCTCCAAATAAACAACCCAAAAACTCACTTTTACACACATCATTCATAATAAAGCATACTAACACGCCGCTTTTGACAATTGCGGCGTCGAGTGGCGCGCTGCTAGCGCTCTTTTTCGATCGCAGAGACCCTGCACGCGCGCGAGCACACTACGTCACGTCCGGGGGGCACAGGTACATACATGAAAAATCGCAGTGACGTAACACTTTTCTCGCTTCTCATTGGTCAATAGCCCGTTGCCGGGGTAACGTGCACGTATGTGAGCGCGGGCAAGAGTACTAGCCGGCCGCCGATCAGGGCTCAGGTGATGCCGATAGAACCTTCAATCATTCTGGGCTGACGCTTATGACTTGGAAAAAGTCCGAAAACCTGTCGGCTCTTGTTCAGCAGGAGGTGTATGAAGGGCCACCCGCCATAAGCACTGCTCAACCGCAGGCACAGGTTTAGACGATGTTGGTCCGCATCAAAGCCAGTGTGCTGGAGAATCCATTGGCTGAAATGCTCCAGAACATTCATCACTGTGTTTTTATGAAAGGTGGCTACAAGCTCAGTTAAAAGAAAAAGTACCAATACCAGATTGTTTTGCTTTTTAATTATGCAGCGGGAAGAAAGGTGTCCGGATAATTTCGTTACACCCCCTGTAATGTTCAAATGGTTGCTAAATTCGAAATCAGCTCCAAAAACTAGCCTAGAAACATGTAAAACTCGAAAAAGGAACCGAGGTCATCAAAGGTCATTGAGCTGACCTGACCTTCAGGTGACCTTGACACCCACCCTAATGCATGGGACCAGCATCATATCACATGTTTCAACGCTTGAAACCACGTGAAAACTGCAACCGCGCGGCTAATGCGAGCCGACATACGCCGAATCGCGATTCGGGCCAAACATGGTCTCGAAAAATAGGTCACATGTCAAAAGTCAATTGGGTCAGGGTCATGAAATTTTCAGGGTAGGTGTAAAATTGATAAAATCGGGGGCATTGAAAGTTTCGTCGCGATCGGACCGTTTTTACGCGAGTTACTCACGAAAAACCGATAAAGCGCACCCAAAAAGGCAGAAATATGCACATGCGATATCCCATACTGCGAAAAAATAGATAGGCATGCGCGCCATTTCGATATTCTGTATTCGGAATTCAGTGAATGTTGGACATATCTAGTCCTGCGGACGAGACAGAAACAATGTTACAGAGGGAAGGCACTGCATACATGTCTATCTCCCCCCAGTCTTTGCCGGCCGGGAACAAAGACTTACATAGATTGGCATAGATTGAAGGGTGCCGTAACGAAACGACGCCGAAAGGCCAAACGACGGGTCGCATTCACGGGAGCGCGAACAAACAAATAGCCCAGGGGGCAACAAAACACAGCTTCTAGGCAACCAGAACGAGTGGACCGGCTGGAAAACGAGCCGGGACAACGATCAAACACTAAACGCGGAACATATCCGAACATCGCAAACAACTGCCGAGTTTGACAATGATAGGGAGTCAGTGGCACAGTCAGCGCGTGAAATTGGGGTCGCGATAGCGGATCGGCATTTGGCGCGGGCGATCACTGCGACGGGGACGGTCGGGTTCAGTATCTCTCAGCGGCTGCGAGCCTGGCGCGGCAGGGGGCGGCATGGCCGGCGGCGACGGCGTGGCATGACCGGCGTGGCATGACATTTGAGGTGCAGCAGTTATATTATTTCTCTTTGTTATTTATTTTAGTTACCTGTATCATTTTCATCAAGATTTTCATTAGTATCTACATCATTTTCAGGACTAGATATGTCCAACATAGATAGGCATGCGCGCCATTTCGATATTCTGTATTCGGAATTCAGTGAATGTTGGACATATCTAGTCCTGCGGACGAGACAGAAACAATGTTACAGAGGGAAGGCACTGCATACATGTCTAAAAAAGGTGCATCATTTTTTAACGTCGCCGACAAATTGTAATTACCCTAAGCTCAGGCAGATGTATGGTAGAAAATCCCCCAAGTGAAATACAGTACGGCGGAAATAAAATACCCTACGGCGGAGCTCGGTTGCAATTTGTAAATACGCTGGCGGCTGCAGGCCCATGTCGTCCCCTATCTCCGCGCGTGTCCACTAACACGAATGACGTCACGCATGTGGGCGGAGCTATGGGCGGAGCCTAACGCACGCGGCAGTCCAAGCCGCCATATTTGAATTGATATTTTAATAGAATCTTGCCGATATTTTGGGTGAAGTCAATTTATATGGATAGCTTGGTGACAGTTTAGCTATACGAATAATAATTTATTATGGATGTGCGTATATTCAGCTTGGTATTGCAATAAAAGTTCCGCACCGCATAGATTCGAACTCGGGACCTTTGGAATACTGCGCGGGCACGCTAACCACTACACTACCGCGACCGCGCGGCGGCCGGCGGCAGGGAGGCTGCGGAGACATGGGGGGACATTTTACACTTTTGTGAAAAAAGCAAAAGATTTAGCGAAAAACACGTAATAGATAACTTGCAGAAAATTGTCTGGTCTTTCAGATAAGATACTTAGGTTTGATATATCTTGTGCAGACTTCATACTACAGTGCTTCGAAAATCGCTCATTTACATGGGGATTGAACGGGGCTTCGAGACTTGACTCCAAATGACGTCACGAGCTGACGTCACGAAATGGTAGAATCGCCGGACGACCCTACCTGGTATATAGGGCCTTGGGCGGCTGCTGGCTGGCAGTAACATCAGTCGCATCCGGTGCCGGCTTCATTTTTTTGCGTTATCACGTATATAATACTTTCGATTTATACGCAAAATGTCAAATACTTTTCACATCATCATCTTTCTGGTAAGTCGGATATAATTTTTATCTGTAAAACTTCAAAGCATTCAATAATGATGAAGGTCTTGGTACTTGATTGAAGAATTTTCTTAATTATTTTTTTTATGCTCATTCGATTGCCGCATACCGTGTGCCACTACGTGGCCCAGGAGCTGAGTTAGACGGGAGGGGGTGTTCAGACACCCCCGGCCCGGTGCGGTTGGCGCCTCGGCGCGGGTTAAAGATTAGGTTACGTTAAATGCAGGCCAGCTGGTAGCATGTCTGTTTCCTAACTTTGTGCCCAGTGGCAGGGAGTTAGTAGTGTGAGAACTCACAAGTTGTTTGACCCACCCACCTTTCTTTTACTAAGCCAGGTAGAATCTGAGCGCTGTTCGGCAGCCGGCTATTTTGTGTGCAGGGTATGACGTATTTCGCGAGCCGACGTCACAGGCGGTGACGTCGGCTCGCGCGCGAGCCGAGCGACAACGACAAACTAACGGGAACCCTCGGACACCCTCGGGGCATAAACCGCGGAGTAGCATATTGAGCGAGTCTTATAAGGAAAATTTCTATATTTTCGTTTCTCAAATGATAATTAGGGTGTCTCTTACCTTTTTACATATCATTTAGGCTTACCTAACACTTCAGTTGCCAAATATCTGCAATTTATTCAAGCGAAGGTATTTTCAGCAAATATCAATGGTATAGACCGAAATCTTTTGAATAAAAACTCTAACCAACAGAAATAAAAATAACTTAATTTATTCCAACCATTTCCTCCAAATAAACAACATAAAAACTCACTTTTACACACATCATTCATAATAAAGCATACTAACACGCCACTTTTGACAATTGCGGCGTCGAGTGGCGCGCTGCTAGCGCTCTTTTTCGATCGCAGAGACCCTGCACGCGCGCGAGCACACTACGTCACGTCCGGGGGGCACAGGTATATGAAAAATCGCAGTGACGTAACACTTTTCTCGCTTCTCATTGGTCAATAGCCCGTTGCCGGGGTAACGTGCACGTATGTGAGCGCGGGCAAGAGTACTAGCCGGCCGCCGATCAGGGCTCTGGCAAGAAAAGATCATGCTAAGCCTGCTAAAAGGTCATGCTTTAGACCTGGGAGGATCATGCCACCATCCACATTTGGTAACATAAATGTTTGATATAGCTTATCACCAGGTAACCTGATGGTCCGGTAGTTGGTTGGTGTCATTTGCAACAAGCACTGCTTAGGGGGCACCCGAGCCCAAAGCCACCGATTTGACCATATGTACATTTTTTCTAAAGGCTATGATATTTTTCAAATTTAATCACAGCCATGCACCAGCATCCAGCAGTGCGAGCATTTTGCACCCTTGCAGATAATTAGTCACTTCTGAATTCTGACACCAGAAAGTCCTCTGGATTAGGAGCAGATGGATGCTCTCCAAAGGACTGCTTTTGTTACTAGACTTCTAAACTTTTCTGGATTTTTTTTTTTAATGAGATAAGACCATGTGGCAAGTTTTTGGGAAATTGCGTCACTGAGAGGTCACCAATGTGTGTGAAAAAGAACATTGACGAGAGTGACTCCCTGGGAATACATATTCTGGTGACTAATTCATGTAAAGTAGGTAGCCAACACGTACTGATGACACCGAACTGATTAATTAGCTACTGTTGTAAAAGTGTTAAAGGTCATGTAAAATGCTGGCAGATGCCACCTCGCTATGAATTGTTTTCCCTCTTTGCAGCCCCTGCTGGGACTGTTGAAGTTTGCAGCTGGTGGTGCCCTTCAGCTGACTGCAAACAACTTTGACAAAGTTGTAGGTAAGTCTGATCACTGTGCACGTCTTCTCACTATCTTTTAATTGAGTGATATACCTATGGTAGGTGCATTGAATAGGTATATAACATCCACCTATGTGTTTTGCAGCTCAGAAATTGTTATCCACTCGGGCTCTTTTCGAATTACTTGTTTGAATGGGCGAATTGACAGCACCCAGCTTATGCTAAGCAGAACCATTGTTGTGTAGGTCCGATCCATCCGACCAGGGGGTTACAGTTCTATGCTGCCACATAGGGAGGGCTCAGGAGACAGATGACGTCACGGGGTGTCAAGGCTTTGTCGATTTTTAATACTTTGCTGTGCAGTAAATTATCTTGTTTAGGCTCTAAGGGAGCCTAAAGGTTAATGTCAAACTGCCTTTTAGAGGATACAATCCTCGAAGATAAATATTGGTGAAGATTGGTAGACACCCGCTGACGTCATCTGTCAAGGTCACCGATGTAAACAAACGGCTAACCGTTCTACCTCCTATATACGGCCTTGCATCCGACTATTCAAGAATATTTGGATGCTAGGTCTAGAGTGTCCATCAACTCTGGACACAGTTCATCCCTCTCAGCAGACTTCAACCGGCTGCGGCTGCTCCGCCAACCAACCCTGTACTATTCCCATCAGCACTCCTCGATCTTTAGTGGCCGAGCGAGTCGAACCTTGGCCCTCACCACTGGCAGTCCAAGTCTCTACCAGCTGAGCTACAGGACTTGCATACATTCACACATGCATGCATAGTTACATTGATACATGCAGGATGGATAGGATATTGACTGAGATCCATTGAGCGTAGGTCTACAGCTGGCCACTGACGACTACTGCTGGCGTCCAGGGTCCACAGAGCTGGTGTTGATCAACTTCTACGCCGACTGGTGCCGCTTCAGCAACATGCTGGAGCCCATCTGGGACGAGGGCGCCGACCTGGTGGCCAAGAAACTCGACTCCAAGCGCGTGCTCATGGCCAAGGTGGACTGTGACAAGGAAGGTAAGCCGAAACTGGTGCTCATGTGTTTACCTGTCTTGCAAGATACCATGCCATATTTTTGGCGAATTGAATGTCCGGAATATAAATATATTGGTATCGTGTTAAGGAGCTGTTATGTCTGATCTGGTGTTGTTAGCCACAAAAATGTGCATGGATCCGAGTGATAGATCTATGATCTCAGGTGGATCTCACCTTAAATGATAAGCTAGGATTATAGGGTAGGGTGGGGTAATTTGAACATGTGGGGTAATTTGAACATAGTGTGAATAACACAAAATTACGGAAAATCCATAAGTCGCATGACAATAAGACCAATGAGAGAAATTATCGTAACTAAAAGGGCTATCATATGAACGGGGTTTAAAGTTTCAGGGAATGAAGATGTTGACGCACAGTGTAAAAAATCAATTTCGCAAGGAAAAACGCCTAACAACACGTCATTGCAACTTCATTGCAACGCAAAATCTTGCATTGCTAGCGCCTAATACGCAACGGCTTTTGTTGTATAATGACCTAATCAGTGCCTTCAATCCAAGAAATTTGCTTTTGAACCCTGTTTTTTAAAATGGCAAAATAACTTTTAGCGTGGGGTAATTTGAACATAGTGTGAGAATTTGAATGAAGACAGGGATAGCTCCGAAAAAAACAACGTTCCCAGTTTTTTTTTTTGCCAATTTTTTCGACCCAAGGCAGTAGCAGATAAGTGATGCCAGTTTTAGAAAATTTACGTCTAATATCCGTCTAATGTCCGGCATTTTTGTTGATTTTCCGTCCAAAAATGTTACAGTCAACTATTTGTCCAAATATGTCCGAAAATTTATGCAGCTATCAACACTCAAAACCGTCATTTATATTGCTTATCATGTAATTTTACCAGCCGAAAAGTTTTCATTATATTGAGAGCTTAACAAGCTTTCCATTCGCCAATCAATGCTATATGCACGATTACTTTATAAAAAGCGCTGAAGTGTAGCAAGCCATCGTCCAATGTTGTCCAGTCTGCTACCTTTGTCCAACCAATTGCGAATTGGCCATTGGACAAAATCAGAACTCCAAATGTCCAGGTTTCGATTGGCACCACTTTAACAGATGTAGTACGGTTGGGAGAGTTTTTATCGAACAAAAATGATAGACGTTCTGTTAATTGAAAAGGGGCGAATTCTGTCAACTGACCGGTGTGCAGCGTGGAGATATTGATACTCTGCAACTGTTATTTTTGCTGTTGTGTTGATTTTTCAAGTGAAGGTATGTTTAGAATTGTTCTGCCTATTTGTTTATGGTTCAAACAACATCGGTGCTGGCGAGACTATCGTTTTTATGACAGGTAAAGGCAGTATGTTCAAATTACCCCACGGTGGGGCAATTTGAACACACCGTGACTTGGTGGAGAAGTGAGGCTATGCTATTCAAGGTATGCTCGGCTCGTCCAAAAATGAGGCTTGCATGGTGAAAGCAAGTGACACTTGCGCTACTGAAGCAGTTTTTCTTCATCCAGGGTTGAACTGGAATTTGGTACAATGGAGAAGACGTAAAAATATGTTCAAATTACCCCACACTACCCTATGATCCAGCGGGATCCTACGTGCAAAATACATATCCTGGATCTATGATCTCATTGGATCTGACGATAAATCAAGAAGAGGGATCTATGATTCGAGTGGACCCCACCATATGCAACCTGTGAAACCATGTTGCTATGTGATTCCATGTAAATAACTGCCACAAAACCATGAATTGTTATGTGCAATCACATAATATCTCTGAACAGAACCATTACGATTATGGTAACAAGTGTTCCCTGAATACTCCTATGCTGACAAAAATTTAGTAAGGATATGTGATCTTACCGGATATCTAGGCAAAAACATAGGCTCAGAACTCAGATCTATGATCCCGATGGATCTCAGGACAAATGAGAGTTGGATCTATGATCCCATCGGATCAAAGATCAAGATCCATGGGGTCAGCTCCGAGATCTATTTTCTCGGATCCGTGCACATGTCTGGCTAGCCATTGTATGAAAAAGGTGGCCGACAAATTATGATGCTATCCCTGTTTGTGTCTGACAACTGACAAGTTCACTTCAAAAGAAATGACGTTCTTATTCTTATTCATGATTCATTCTTATTTTTATTCTTATTGCAAGTCAGTCTGTACCATGTATTTGTTTGATTTCATCTGTACGTTGTCGCTTGTGCTGCGGAAACTGCCGTGTACCTCCCTAGCTGCTCTCTTGCTGCGGCAAAAAGTCGCCACGGTGCCGACTGCCAATGCCAACCGGTCCCGTTCGGTGCGCCGGCGCGGGGGCCAGCGTGGCATCTCCCCTGTCCCGTCCAACCGGCGGAACCGGTCCGACACCAGCGAATCCGCCTGACCCGGCGCGGCTCTCACTGACCGATCCCGCGGGATGTGACCCCCCCCCCCCCGCCTCAGTCGGTCGGTCATCCCCCCCCCCCCATTGGGTCTGTCAACCTATCCTTCCGGAGGGTCTGACTTCGTCAAACCCACAAGCTGGGGCTGTCACTTCTCCCCAGAACGATTGTCGACTACTATCAATATGTGGGATGTGGATGCCCATGTGGTTGTTTCGTTTTAATTCGCCTTTGCAATCAAAACGGTCGACGAGGATGAGATTCGAACTCACGCGGGGAGACCCCATTGGATTAGCAGTCCAACGCCTTAACCACTCGGCCACCTCGTCACATATCGGGCTATCGACGGGAATCACGCGGCCGGCAGGCGTGCGTTACTCCTTTCTAGAAATTGTCGCGTCACGCCAGGGTATTGTCCGCTGGTTCACTGTCACGATGGGGCTCAGCAGTCAGCTGGTCTTGAGACCCCGCAGCTGTCGGCGCCTCGATATGCCGCGCCAGGCCGCTGCTCGGTGCGACCTTCGCCGGGCGGGTGTGGTGGTATTTGAACCGACCCCCCCCCCCCCTAAATCGGCTTCGGGGCCATTTAGAGCGGTACGCCGTGAGCGACATTGAAGTATTGGCAAAAATTATCAACGTGTCAAGAAAATTGTGAAGCAAGTACTTCGGTCAATTTTTAGGTCGGCCTGAGGGTCGGGTCACCAGAGGTCACCAAAAGTAAAATTTCGGATATTTCAATATCTTTTTACCAATCGTCGTATAAGTCGGGAACGAATAGCGGCGGAACGGCCCCCTCTCCTTTTCAGTCGATATCTGGTGTAGCAGACATAGCCACGAAACTTTGACAACCCCTCTGGGCCTCAATTTTACACCTTGAAACCAAAATTTGTTCCAGAGCAAGTGATAGGTTGGCCGCAAATGACATCAGAGTGACGTCATCTTCTGCCATTTTCGATCCCAAAAAAAGGTTTTGCAGGACGAGCTGTCCCGCCTACAGTTTTGGAGATACAGAAAAAAAATATTGGAATAAAAAAGTGTATAATTAACAAAGCTACAAAACTGCTATCCCGGGTTTTCAAAAATTTTGGATTTTGACCACCAAAACTAAAAAAGTGTTTTTAATTCCATGCCCCAAACCAGGGCTGTGGAGTCGATGGATTTTAGGGTGACAGAAGTTTTGAGACTGCCCTCGTAAAAGCCCTATTAACAGTGCTAGATTCTTGTCGCTTTCATATGTCCTTACCACAGTTGTCATAAACGTACTTGCATAATTTTGTTTTTTTCTACGTTGCAAGAGACGGCTAGGACATCACCTTGAACATGGCAAGTCGCACGCGGCTTGTTACAGCGGCCAGTGTACAGCATGGTCAGTCTGTTTATGTGAGGACAACTTTGAGGGTCGCTAGGCTAGGCGATAAAATTTTGTGATTAGCTTGATAAAAATACCCCAGAAATATTTAAAATTGACTCTTCACTCTTCAGCGACTTGAAACGAAAGCTGGATGTATTTTTACCGATCCAAACACCAAGAGCCAAAGTGTTCAATGGAAGCACACTGACTTTTCCAGACCCAAGAAAGCCAGACAGAGCAGGTCCACTGGGAAGCTCATAATATATAATCCCGTACTTTGACAAAAAGGCAGTATATTCATTAGCTGGGTCCCGTGCACGGCCAGATGATTAACAAGGAATGTTTCCTGAAAGTTCTGAGGGAGTTGAGAAAGGGAATTTGCCGCAAGAGACCGGAACTCTTCAAATTTGGCCAGGGGCACCTGCACCAGGACAACGCACCCACCAACAAGTCCATGGACATGGTGACGAGCTAACTAAGACAGATGGGCATCAAAACTGTCCCTCATTCTCCCCACAGTCCAGATCTGGCCATCTGTGGCTTCTGGATGTTCCCCAGACTGAGCGAGAAGTTCAGGGGACGCCGGTTGGAAGATGTGGAGGAGATGAATGAGGCTGTGACAGAGGCCCTGGGCACCTTCACTTTGAAGGACTAGCACTTAGCAGCGGGTCTTCAGGAAGTGACCGGAGTGCTACAATAAGTGTATTGAACTCGGGAGGTCTCATTTCAAGAGTCACTGAAGTTTCATGCTTTTCTGAAACAACTGATTGTCTCTACTGAAAAAGTCTCAAAACTTCTGGAGTGCACCTCGTATATTAACCCTCGCCCGCACATGTGGGGGAGTGGTTGCCACCCCCAGGGTTGTGCTTGACTCATGAGTCGAGTCAGAAATTTGACTCAACTCTGACTCAAATGAGTCAGATTTGAGTCGAGTCGGATAAAATGTTGAGCTGTTGAGTCAGAGTTGAGTCGGACAAAAATATTAAGGCGTTGAGTTGAGTCAGAGTTGAATCAGTAAAATAACTTTTGACATTGAGGAACATGAGTCAGCTGACTCAACTTTCTAGAAACAAGCTTTTCATTCACCCCCGCTTAACAACTTCGCCCTGGCCCTGCTGCCGGATTTTTTCATCCCCGCCCCCGCTCAACAACTTTTTTATCTGAGTCAATTTTGAGTCAACTCACTTGACTCAACAAAAAATTGAGTCAAGTTTGAGTCGACTCATATTTTCAATGAGCCGCTTGAGTCATGAGTCGAGTCAAGGGAAAAAATCAGC